CTGAAAACACAGAGAGATGACACCGTCAGTGCATGGAGTCACAGGACGACTGGCGCTTAACCCTAAACAGAACTCAACTGCGGCCATGGCCACATCCCAGAAGATCTAGTCACACACTAGGGAACCTGCCTGCACCAGCTGCCCTGAGATTGTTGTATTTCTTATATTCGTTTTAACCCCCACCGTAACTCAAGGAATGACATCTGCGTAGTTCAGCAACATTGGACCCGGAAAACAAAGGCTCTCTCATAGTATGGAAGACAGAGGTGAGAAAAAGAACATCTTTGTATTAGTGAACTTTGCAAGATTTCTACTCAGTTATTCATTTTAACCAATTTTTATTCTACCACTGGGAAGGCAGACCCACTCTCCTTCACTCAAACATGCTGATAATCACCATGTTCACAAAAAATAATTAGCTATCAAATTCAATGAAATCATCTGCCTAAGTTCCAGTAGAAAAGTACGTTTACATTGAAAAAGAAGGTGATAAGCTAATTTAATAGCAGGCGTAAATGACCACTGAACACCCCAAAAACCAAACGCAGTGGATGACAGCTGCTCGTGATGAGGACTTGAGCATGGTTGTGATGATTTCCTTTTTTAGGGTGCAGGCTAAGCTCCTCATTACCATGCTGAGAATTTGGCTAATAGAGTACTTGATAGGAATGGAAGATATTAAGGCTCAACTTTACCAACCTCCCCCCTCCCCCCAGCACAATGCTTCTTCAAGCTTTGCTTTTTGTATTAAAAAGTGGTTTCACCCACTCGTCCTGGCGGCTCAGTTGGTTGTGTTGTAGGCAGTTACACAGACATGAAGAAGAGCAAGGACGATGGGCCAGGTACAGAAGGTCGCCAGAATGGAAAGCCCTAGGTGCCTAACAAGGACAACCAATTATACGGTGGGGCCTTGACTTTCCTTCCCTAGCATATTGCAGTTTGGACCCCCTGACCTTTCCTCCCTGGAGATAACATCTAGGCCTCAGTTGTATTTCAGCTCCAGGCCCAGATAAGCAACAGGACGAGCGGCATTGAATAATGACCCCCTGCCCTGGTGCCGGCCAGTCAGTCAGTGGAGAGCACAACTCTGAATGGACGCACTTGGAAAGCTACTGAATAGGCGATTGAGATCTTCCCCTAGGACCTCCCCTATCATCTCTGCCCTTAAAACCCTGGGATGGAGGATCCAGTACGCTCTCCCTCCAGGATGGGTGCTGGTTCATTATTGATCAAGGGAAGGCTCACCACTGAATGATCAGAACAAGGGCTGGGCTGGAGGCCTGAGGGGAGAATGAATCAGACAGAGGTGAGTGGAGTTTAAATTATTGCTGCATAGCTGTAGAGAGAATGATCAGAGATTTAAAACAATCACCTTTTGACTATTGGTCAACATCTTACCGCCATGCTAAATGAAGCATTTGGGTGTTTAAAAAAATTGTTTTGAAGTGACACAAAAACTGCATGTTTCTATTTCTGTAGCTAAAAAAAAAACTTGAGTGTCTTCATTGGTCTTTACACAGCTCAGAAAGCTTTTCTTAGGCTTAGCTTACAATCCAAGGTGCTCTGAGTCCTCAAAGATCACCCTCATGTTACCAGACTCCTGGTAGCTTTCTACCAGCTGCCCTGCTTTGTAACCTGCCGAACCCAACTCATCCCTGACCTGCTCTGAAATAAGTCCTATAGTTTTTCCAGTGGTGAGGATAGATGCTAAAAATCTTGTTTGAAGAAAGTGTATTATTAGAGCTAGAGAAAAAAGAAAACAAATCCTTGAAAGTAACATTGTGTTTTGGGGGGAAACTAATAACAGTATCCATGACTTATGGCCATGAAAATGGCCTGCACCATTGAAATAAATTTAAAATGACTTAAGTTTTGCAGGGTATAGTAAGAATGAATGAGTAAATTTCCTGGTCTTTAACCCAATTTAGTATGATAAACTTCTTGATTCCGGGGACTTAGACAAAATTGTGACATAATGGAATTGCCTGGGGGCCCCAAACCCTCAACCCTTTGCTTTTACTCCTCCACCACTATGCCTGGCATCTTCTGCTGGCCTCCGCATAAAATGGTATTTTCAAGAAAAAAACCAGAATATGAATACATCCATTTCTGAAAAGGCTTCATATATACCAGTACTAGATGGAGGTTTCTTCCCACTATGATATTCTGTGCTATTTTACATTTCACAGAGGATAATGCATTTAGTCAGAGAAATTGCCTAATTACAGACTTTCAGGCAGAGTGACTGCCGGTGGAAGAAGCTTCACTGAGGACAACAGAGCCTTCCTGGCGTGTTAGAATGACACTCTGTTGGTAGCCAGCTTCTTTGCTTCCCCATAAAGCCCACCTTACTCCTGAGTCTAGTACAGTGAGACTTCAATTGAGTAATTGAACCCCTTTCCACCTGGTGTTTCCCCCATAAATCTAAGGAAATTGTTGGCTCACTCATCTTTGTGTCATGAGAATTTAAGAAAAATTTTAAGGAACCAAGAGACGTAAAAAAATAGCAATGGTGAGATAGGGTCTACAGCTTCCTATCAAGAGGTCATGCAATGAAATAAAGATCATGCCATAGTCTTCTAAAATCCCAACGACTGTAGCCAAAACTATTAGGGATTTCTAGGAATTCCACAGCTCCAGGACTAAGCAGAGTTAAATAATCAGCTATTAAGTAAAAATTTTAGGAAAGAGATGCAGATTCAGGATACTGAACCATGTACATCGGGCCTACTAGCAAAAGCCATGAGCCTGTAAGCAGTTGCAGTCAAAAGGTCAGTAGCCAACTGATATAGGAGAACCAGAAACACGGAAACGGTGGTCACAGTGTGGAATCAGATGCATTTGTTCCCGTTCCCTAACTCCTACTAAGAGATTCCAGTTTACCTACAGATAATCAAGCTACCATAATTTTGTTTGGTTTTCCCCCAAAGTAATGTTTTTGGAAGAAAATGCCTGTCTCACAATGAACTTAGATGTGGTTCCTTCTCCCCGTGATTCTTTGATCTAGGTCTCCTAGAGAGAAAATTTATTTTGGAGGTGAAAAGAAAACTAATTATATACACGGGGCCACAGACAATTGTGATAAAATTACTAAAGACTTACTCTTATCTAGATTTACCACATCTGTGCTAGTAAATTACAGTGAAGTATGAGAAAAATGCACGAGCCATGTTCTGCAGTTCCATTTAAGGAAATTGGGTTGGGCAGTATTTCCAAACACTAATGGAACATATAAAAATCAGACACTGCTTAAACGATAAAGTAAATATGTTAAAAATAGAAAATCAAGTCTCTATTCATCTTGAGTCCCCCCCCCCCAAAGGAAGCTAACATACTCAAGGATAAAATGTCAATTTAAAACTTTTCTAATTTTTTCCAGGCGTGCAGGCTTGTGATATTTTTCACTACTCTCCCTTTTTGCACATGATCGTGATAGAAAAAGACAAATGTGGAAAATTTTTTAAGCAGAAAATAATTCCTTTTCTTTAAAAGCGAAGGCACACGTGATGTGCATTACTCTCGAAAGGGCCGCCTTCGTGATCTTGAAAGACTAAATAATGTGAAAATTTCTTGGAAGTGAGGCAAGGAAGTTTTGTGAGCATAAAAGCTGGTAAACAGCACTTCTGCCCCAAAAAGAATAAAAAATATGTTTAAACCAGGACACTTAGAGGTTGGAAATACTAAAACTGAACATGTCCCTGGCAACGAATGTACACCTTCACAGTGTAGCCTTTGGCATCAGACTTACTGCCTTACGGAACAGCTCATACTTAATGCAGTCCCTTTCTAGTGATTTCCTTAGGGTCAGAACCTTCCAACTTACCTCCAAAGGAATAGAGTATTTTTAAAATGGAGATTTTTCCATAACTAAAATCCCATTAAATGGGCCCAAGATGAACAGGGCATATTCTCAAAGGTCAGTCATGTAGATAAATTATTCTGAGAAATACAGAAATATTCTACTTATGAAGTAATTTTCTCCTTTTGACTTCACTTCGCTGGTATGTCTATTTCTCCCATAAGGCAAAGGAGGTATTTGAGTGATGAGAAAATACAGTAGAAAGATGGAGAAGCACAGCTCCCCTTGCGAGATGCCTAAAATACTCAGCTTTACCCACCACAGGTCAGCTAACCTAAACATAAGTGAACTGGGAAGGATGGGAACTCAGGCTCTCAGATGAGGTCCTGCTGGTAATCTGCTGTGCTATGTTTAAAATCTGTCAAAATAAAAATTAAAAAACGAATTTATGAGAAATTACAAATTGCAGTGGTATGCTCACCCCCCCCCCCTTTTTTATAACACTCTCCCATCTGTTTTGGTCCAGGATTTAATGAAGCAATAGGTACACCTAGCACCAAGGTCCTTGGTGTTAGATGCATAAGGATACTGCTCACTGCAGAGGACCTGCCTGCACAGCCTCCCACAACTTGGGGAATTGTGAACAGGGCCCACGTGTCATGGGAGGAGACACACTGTATTTATGCTGAGCTGAATGAGGAGAGAGGTCAGGGTATTTAAGTATGTCATAAACATCTCCTCCCTCTACCCTTACCACTTTCTCTCATGTAGGACTGTCAGCCAAGGACCGACTGTCTAACCAAAGGCCTTCTGATCCCGTGGAGAGGAAAGCAAGATGCTTTGACCACTGTTTAGAGGGGTGACTACACAGGCATCAATGACCACAGACACTTGGAGTGTTCTTAGTGCCTGTAAAGTACCAAATGTTCCTCTACTTACTTTAAATTTTATATTACTGTTTAGTTTTTCACATTATACTTTATGTGGGGAAACTCTTTTATATAACTGATCACAAGCATTTTTCCACATAAAACCTTTTTTTATGTGTCAATAATCACAGTGACATATAAAGTAGGAACAGACACTGATAGTCATGCAAAAATAGCCATTGCATTATTCTTATAAACAATTCTGACAATTAAATGTACAAACAAAACACGTAATTGTAGCTGATATTTCAGACCCCAAGAATATCTAGATA